ATATCTATAGTGTTGGGATGTTAATGTGGGAAATATTTGCAGGACATCCACCATTTGATGATAGAGCTCACAATCATTGTTTGATTTTTGATATATGTGAGGAAGGTTTACGACCACCAATACTACCTGGAATGCCTGATGATTATGTGCAAATGATGCAGAAGTGTTGGGATGAAGATCCATCAAAAAGACTAACTTCTGAAGAGCTTTATGAATTTGCTGATATAAATTAGAAGAAATTTATAAAAATGAAAGTATGAATATTAATAATAATAGCAGTAATAATATTAGTTGTGATAATGATAATGGTAGTAATTTGCACAAACCACATCCAGGTGCATATCATATGAGCAGAATATTAGGTGATGAAATTACTAAATCACAAAGCTTAACAATTAATGATAATTGAATAATCTTGATTTTAATTCTTTTCTCCTAAATGCTGATTTTAATAAAGGTAAAAAAAAGGTTCATTACTAATTAATTGGAAACTACTATCTATTTAATTATTACTAACAGTATTTTTTAATCAATTAATAAACATTAGATTTTAGCAACAATAGTAAGGGAAATGATGTAGAAAGAATAGATGAGGTTGTTGATGGAATTGATAAATTATCAATGGATGATTAATTTAATCTCTACTATAAATTTTTTCTTTGAATTAGTTATATCTTTTTATTTCATCCTTTAACCTTTTCATTTTATTTATTTATTTCTTAAAGCTAATTATAATAATCATTTGAAATAATAAATTTTTTTACTATTTTTAATTCTTGTTCCAGAGCTCCCTTATTATTGTTGTAAAAGTTACATTTGTGGTGATGCTTTATAAAACAAATATACACAATAAAGAAGCCGATGCTTGTTTATTATCTACCTATAAAAATTTCAACTGTAGATGTTAAGGGTAAAGAAAGTTATCTCATAACTTGGATATATACCTACGAGTTATCTGTATATGGCGAAAGAATTTTTATGCTAAGTCAACAGAAAGAGCAACGTGGTTCGTTTGGATTAGGGGATTATTTGGTATAGAAGTAACTAGATTTTTTTGTGTATTCGCATTATTATTATGTAATAGCGATACGTATTTTTTATTTCATACAATAAATCAAGGTTCTATGTAACCATTTGTCCAATTTAATAAAATTCTGAAATAATTATGCTTTTGGTTACTACCAAAAGTGCGCTATAGTTTTATTTTCCGATGCACACCCCCACACCACACCACATACACGAAAGTTAAAAAATCAGAAGCCCGAACTTTATTATAATTTGATATTTGTTTAAAATTTTAAGTCGCAATTGAAACATACTTGTGTAGCAATGAATCATTGCACAATTTTAGACAATAAAATTATTTTCCATATATTATATTTCAATTCCTTTTTTCGCTTTTAACAGCTAATGCTTTTGCTTCTTAGGTCGGTTTGGTGTTGGTGGATTCTGCTTTATAGTGTGAACTTTCCGCTTGACAAGTAACTTATTTTTTTGGTCAGTATGTGACTTGCCCTTTTCGATATTTTTTTTCATAAATGACTGAATGTAAACAATCATTAGCAAAAAATAGTGAATAAGTGAAAAGGAATTATACAAACTTTATTATACTCACAAAAAATTTTAGACAGGTTATAATTGCTTCAGCTAGTACAGGAAGATCCTGCCAAATTGCAGGAATCTTGAAACTTTCGTATTCCCGAAGGCAATATTAATATGATTTTTGGTGTATTGTACACCAAAATAAAGATACCTCGGTGCGATGGCCAAAGGCACCAAAGCTTGCTAGGTCTTTATGATCAGATATCCCATCTTTAAGACGAAGGGTTATTCTTTGATTTAACACATCCCTCATGGCTCGAACCAACTTATAATCATGTATGTAAAATTGAGTAACATCATCAAAGTCTGGAGGTCCTGTCTGTTCATATATGAGCACTTCTTTATGGCTTTGCCAGAGGCGGGCAAGACCATCTGCACGTTTTGCTTCCAAAACTTTATCAATAATTGGGTTGATATTGGAATTACGTCGGTGTTTGCTACTTTCAACCGGGACTTCGAGACTATAACAGTGTAATTTCATAATGTTAATTAATCACTGCCGATGAATATTCTCAGGATGGATAATCGAATTCACTTACATTCTCCAGTCGATACTAAGAACAGCCTTGAGCACATTATTCAGTACTGGACTTACAAATTGTGCATTGTACTGATTTTCTCCGAGGTCGCCTGATTTTAGTATATTGTATGGCGCTTTCATCAGGAAATTAATTTAGCGTAAACTTGCATAAATCTTACGATGCCGACGTAATATTGTGTAAATCTTACAGTGCCGTCGTAAGTTTTACACTTTTTTATTATTAAACTTACAATTGACACGTGTAAAATTTTTTTATATTTTCCGGATGTTATCAACCAACACCAGTGGTATTAGAACAAATAAGTAATAAATATAACTGCATATTATGTGGTAAATGGTTGAAATCAAAAATTACATTAAGGAATCATGAAAACAAATATCATAAATTCAACAAAATAATTCCACATTTTTCAGTTTTATCATCATCTAATGATATAGAAGAATTAAAACAATGTATTATAATCAACGTTCAAAAAAAAGTGGGATTCAATAGACATCATGTTGGTGTTAAAAAATTCATTTTGGAACCTTTTCCTGAAAACGTTTTTGCAATGCTTTTTTTTCAAGAAGAAAATTTTTTTTATTATCCTATTAAAAGATACTATATTTGTAAATTTGAAAATATTGAAGGAAGGAATAATTTAAGTATAATATTAAATAATTATAAATGGTGGGAGAGAAAAACAATGCAACTGGTACAATTTCTTTTGTTGTGATGGAGGATGATGGAGTAGTAAAACCAGAAATCAAATCTCTTTGGAGAGAAAAATTTTTAAATAATATGAAATGTGGATTTTGTAAGGTTGAGTTTAATGTGAATTCTAAATAAAATTTAGTTAATTGAATCAATTGGATTAATATGAATAATTTTTTTTTTTGAATGATGAAGGTGTATTATTTTTTAGATAATATAATTGTCTATTCTCAAAATTTAATATTTTATATACAGCTGATTGTTTTTTTTCACCACCACCCATACAAGTAATTTCAAAAAACAAACGAACCTAAAAAAAAATTTATTAATTAATATAAAATCTTTTTTTTTTTAAAAAAAAAAATAAAGGAAATATTATATTCACATGATGATGATTCTTTTTTTCTACACTTGAAGAAGAAAACAAATGTAATGATAATGCTTGATTTTTTAATTCTTTTAAAAATTGTGGTATATGCATGGCAAACACATGCATATAAGGAGTAACATCCTCACTACAATATATATTAGTAAATGTTTTAATCCATTGTTTAACATCTTTTTGAAAATTATCTATTTCAATATCACTCAATGCAGTTTTTCTAATTAATTTATACAAACATACAAATGGGTTCCATCCTAGCAAAAAGGTGCTTCGGGCTCAAAAACCCCAAAATGAGTTATTGACACCATTATATTCTTTGAAGTGATGATTATAATTTGGTATAATATTTGTCAACATTCAATTAATAGAAAAATGTACAATTAGCTCACAAAGATTTATTGAATTTTGGCCCCAAAAAATTTATAATGACAAAAAAGGAAATGATAATCTTACAAATTTTTTTTTTAAATTTCCATTTCATTTGAATTAGGATTTGAAAAATGAACATCTTTATGAGGTTCCTCTACAAATTTTCTAATTTTTTTATATAAATATAATTTTTTTTCTAAATCTATATTAATTGGAATAATATTAATGGGATCATTATGATTAAAGTTATTATTTTTTAAAAGATTAAAAGATTCTTCTTCATCAGATTTCATTGAAACAAAAAATTTTCCTTTGTTTTCAGGCAGGTTGTTAAATCTAAAATGATGATATTGCTTTATATTAGGTAAAGTTTTAAATTTTTTTTCAAATAATTCTCCAAAATTGTGCCATTTCCACCCTAAACTATTTTTATATTGTATTGATTCATTTCCTTCTGAAGAATCTTTAACAATCTCTTCAATATCATTAATCTGATTAATCTTACTTTTTCTATATAATTTTTTTATATGACCAAAAAAAGAATACATAAATTTTATATGTCCTGGAATCATAAAATTAACTGTAATTTCTTCATACCAACCCAGCATTATTATCCAAGTCCAAAACCAAAGAGATAAGTTATTTTTATTTTGTCCAGAGCAATTATCACAAGTTATATGCAATTTTTTTTTACCATTCTTTGCAAATATTTGCAGAGCTTGATAAACTAAATTCAAAGTAGTATTTGCTCCTTTAGATGTGCCTTGAGGAAGCTCATCTTCTCCTATTAAAAAATTCAATTGTTTATTTATTCCTCCTTCAGTTTTACAAACTCCAAATAAATGAACAGCATAACCTGATAAAAAATATAATGGTCCTGCTTGTTGAGGTGAATAAGGAATGGTGACATTTTGTGCCCAATCATAACAAATATGTGCAATTGATAAATCATTTTACTTAATTCAATTTTATTATTATAATGATCATGTTCAAGGTTTGCCATTTTTTTATGTTCATTAAATTCAGCTTCAACATTATTATATTCATCAATATTTCTTTTTGCTAATTGCAATTTTGATTTAAATTGAACACAATTATCACACAAATCACTCACAAGAGGCTGAAATTTTAAATTAGGCATTAGTTCATTCCATAATCTTCTAAAGAATTGTAAGAAATAATTTTTTCCTCTTTTAAATCATTTTCAGATTCAACTTTCAAAATATTTTCTAAATAAAATTCTTTAAATTCTTTATACACAGATATAAATCTTTTATCAGTAGGAAGATAAATAAATGCTCCAGAATCATTTCTATGTCTCATTGGTGAAGGTAACCCATGTATTAAAGAATATAGATTTAGAAAATTTCTTACAATGAATTTTAAATTTTCATCAATATTGACTTTAGTTTTATATATAGGAGCTCTTCCTGTGTTTCCATGATTTCGTTCACTTATTCCTTCATTGTGTAAATGTTTTACAATATTTTCAAATTTATGATCACTTACATTGTATGACATTAAAAATATTGGTTTGCAAAGAGAATATGTTGAATTAAAACAAAATTGATAATTTATTCTTTGAGGAATTTTTTCAGAAGACTCTTTAAAATTTTTATTTTCTATTTCCATTGCCAAAAGTTGTGCTTTCAAAAATAAATCCAATTCTTTGTTAGTTAAATTAATAATTTGAAAATGTCTTTGAAAAAAATTTTTAAATCCAATTTTTTCAAAACAAGTTCTAATGTCTTTTTGTTTTTTCAAAACACGGCAAACACAACTTGTTGGATTTTCAAAAAAAAATTTTAAATTATGAATAGTTTCTTGAATATTTTCATAACAATCATATTCTTCTAAACCAAGTTCAAATAAATCATAAAAATATTGAGAAGTTTCTTGATTAGTTGTGATGTTTAATTATTGTAAAAATATTAAAATATTTAAAAAAATTATTTTTATGGACAAAAAGGGGTTAGTAATTTATTTTTAGAATAAAAATCAGGGGAATGTTTGACAAAAAAATAGGGAGAAAAACAAAAATCAGCTGATTTCTCAAAAACACCTTTTTTTCCCGAAGCATCTTTTTGCTAGGATGGAACCCAAATTCTCTCCACATTTTTTATATGTTAATCCCCTTTTCATTATTATAAAATTTAGAAACAAGAAAAAATTCTAAAAATTTCAATTTATCTGATCCATTTAAGGTTGTCCAGATGCATTTAGAACTTTTTAAATCATAAAATTCAAATTTGGTTATTCCAATTCTTCTGGTTTCTTCGATTATTCTATTAGCCATTTCATTTTCAAATTTTTTTAAATTTCTACAAAGGTCTGAAAATAAACATTCTAATAATATATCACTGATTCTAGCATTAAGTGCAACTCATCTGGTATCCAGTTTTTATTATCAATCATAGGCAATAAACAATCATAATTAAAACCTATTTAAAAATTATTGTTAATATAATTTTATAATTTAAATAAAAATAATATAAACTTAAATATTTACTTTGTTTTTTGTATTATAAGTGTTACTCCATTGAATATTCATATTTGCTCTTTGAAACTTTGAACAATCACAATAAAGACAAAAATATTCACTGGTGGGAGCTTTGATTCCATGAACTAATTGAAGAAATTTCCAATCAGCTGAAATAAAAAACTCAACATCCCAATGAAAATTATCTGGATCAATATATCCATTTGATTTTATATCTTTTATTTCATCAGTAAAATAACTCCAAGCAAGTTGTAAAGAATTTTTATTTTCTTTTCCAATATAAATACATATGCTAATTATATGTTAATTTTTATTAAAAAAATTTTTTTTAAAAAGGTATTATAAAAATATATTTACCTATGTTGATGATCAGGTTTTAAAACATTTTCACCTTCATTTAATAAGCAAAATGTTAAAATCACTTGATTTTGTTTCTTTCCGACCAAATGTCCATCACCACTTAATTTGATTTTCAATATATTATTAAAAAAACTAAATGTTGATGAACATTTTAATGGTGGTATTAAAATATTTAAAATAGATCTTATTGATCGATATGCTCCATCTCCATCATATAAGCCTACACTTTCTATATTAGTATTTTCATTAATAAAACTTGTTCCAACCCTACTATTATTTGCTGTTTGACTATTATTATTTGTTTGATTATTATTATTGTTTGTATCATTAACAAAAAAAGTTTTAATTGGAACTAAGTTATTAATAATATTTTGAATTTCAATACGTCATGCTTCAATTCTATAATAACATTCTAAATCAGGATATATATTTGTTAACATTCTATATGATTCTCTAGAAATAATTGCTTTGTCACAGGCATATACAACTGCATCCTGTATTATTGATATATTGTTAATATCCTCCAATTCAAAATCAAAATCATAATCCAATCCATCTATTTCTAAAATAATTTTTTTAAATTTGATGTTGTTTGATGGTGATGAAATGATATTATAATTGCTTAAAAGTTCAATATTATTATGATACATTTGTCTTCCAATTTCTTTTAGTCTATTACATCTTTGGGAGTTTGAATCTAAACCATTAAATAATTTTAAATTTTTAACTTTCATTAATTGATTTTGATTGGTAGTAAAAATAGAAGGTGAAGCAGTAGAAGTAGGTGTAGTAGTAGTAGTAATAGTAGGTGTAGTAGTATTATTAGTAGTAGTAGGTGTAGTAGTAGTAGTAGTAGTAGTAGTAGTAGTAGTAGTAGTAGTAGTAGTAGTAGTAGTATGTGTAGTAGTAGTAGTAGGTGTTGTTGTAGTAGTAGTAGGTGTTGTAGTAGTGGTGGTAGTAGTGGTAGTAGTAGTAGAAGAAGTGGCGGAAATGGTGATGGGGGTAGTGGTAAAATTGTTAGGTAATGAATAATTTATATTGTATAAAGGTTTTGATGGTAAAGAATAAAAAAACTTATTATATTTTTTATTATTACGATTAGGGTTGTTTGGATTAGAAATGTAAGTCATATAACAACTATTACATAAACAATCACCAACTTCTAATTTGGTATTTTCATTATTATATTTCTTTGAGGCAGTTTCTGACAACCTTCTCCATTTTCTTGGTTTATTAATTCGACATACTTGACAAGTATATTCTAATTCCTTCTCATTCCTTTTCATTCCTTACAAATAATTAACTGTATTACTATTATAAACATAATTTTTGAAACGGGATTCTTTTTTATTGGTTCCTTTTTAAGTGGGATTCTTATTACTACTATATTTAAAGGTCATAGGAGAATACCTTTACTTAGGAACACAAGAGTGATTATTATGTGTGTTATAGATTCGTGTATGATGACTTGTGATTTTAATATATAAAAATAAATGTCACAGGATGTCGATCAAAAAAATTGGCCTGTATGATTTTTCTGATCATCATGCTTTCTAATTAACAAATGATATTTGAGATTTTATACATTGATCTATATATAGGAATTCGGCCATTATTATTATGGGTTTTGTAAAACTGTAAAAAGTCTACCATGCCCGTGTCGATCATTACCTTAAAAATTGATATATTCATAATAAATTTTTTGTTGTGCGATTTGGTTAATTTTGATTGGTGGAATTTTGTAATTTACCAATAAAGTTTTCGAAATTCCCTTATTCGAAAATGTGGACAGTTTAAGGGATAAAGAAATAAAAATTAATTTTATTTAGTTGTTTTAGTTGTTATAAAAATTAATTTATAATATAATACTTACAATCTGGTTATAAAGAAATAAAAAATAAATTTACTTATTAGATGATGTTAATAAAGTTTATTTTGTAAAAAGCTGATTTATGATATAATGCTTACCATCTGGTTATTATAAAGAAATAAAAAAACAAATTAATTAATTAGATGATGTTTATTTTGTGTTGTAAAAATTAAATTATAATATAATACTTACCATCTGGTTATTATAAAGAAATAAAAAATAAATTTACTTATTAGATGATGTTAATAAAGTTTATTTTGTAAAAAGTTAAATTATAATATAATACTTACTAACTGGTTATTATAAAGAAATAAAAAAACAAATTATTTAATTAGATGATGTTTATTTTGTGTTGTAAAAGTTAAATTATAATATAATGCTTACACCCTGGTTATTATAAAGAAATAAAAAAACAAATTATTTAATTAGATGATGTTTATTTTGTGTTGTAAAATATTTATTTACCTTTAAAGAATTTAGCTAAGTATTATTTTATTATAAAGCAAAATATTAAATTATGATGTAAAAATACTACATATTTTTAAAATAGTTGTTTTCTGTGTAAGAAAAAAATACCTTCATTCATTTTTTTTACTATATAGGAGCAAGAATTTCTTCAAGACCTGTGTTTATTCCTATTTAAGAAATTGTATATATGATTTGGATATGGTTGACCAGGGTTGGAATCAACCAAATTTGATTGGTAATCAATTTATCAATCGAATATATTAATTAATTTTTAAAGAGCAAAATAGAAAAACATTAATATAAAAATGAAAATGGTTTTGTGAGCAACATGGATTTAATGTTTAATAATGCCAAGAAATATAATGTAGAAGGATCAAAAATTTAATCTTATTGGCAAAATAATTTAATTAGACATGTATTGAATATATGCATATTTACAATATAAATTTTTTGTTTTTTTACAATTATTAGAAATTAGCACTGTGAGATCAAAATCCCGCGTCTCACACAAATCTCTTGATTTTTATTTATGATGACATGCCGATACAATTTTCCCATTTATTTATACTAAATCATAATAACAATTTCCGTGAATGTATATTTATGCTTTACTCTCAAAACTATCTTTTACTATAGTGCTCAAGCTATTTAATTATTTACAGGGCAAGTTTCCTTACTTCCCTTCCGGTAACGTTTTCTCAGCAGTTCTTTGTTATCTGCCTGAGCCGGCACGTCTCAATGAGATTTATAATATCTCTAGTATCCGCCGTGATACTTTATGGTTCAGTCTCTTAACTGACCTCACTAAAAGCACTAAAAGAAAAGAAAAGAAATAAAAAATAATAAAATTAATATAAAATAAGAGAAAATAATTATGCACGGGATTAGTATAAATTCGTCGTTAGGGATAGATTTATTATCATTACG